GTTGGACTGTGCATTTGCCTTTGCTGAACTTCGTGAGGTTTTTGTCCACCCATTTCTTCAGCCCATCGAGGTCCCTCTGAATAGCAGCCTTGCTTGCCAGCCCGTGGACTACTCCCCAAATTGGTATCATCTGTATTCCCAGTCTGGTGTCTTTCCTTTCTGACTGGAACCATCTGCCAGACCGGACTGCCAGTTAGATGCTGGGATCAGAGGGTGATGGGTCTCCTCTGCAACCACTGAATCCAAAGTGAAAATGTGCTTGAGGGATAAAAGTGCTCAGTGTCAGTTTAGAAAATCAAAGAACGGGGCAGTGATTCCTTTTCCTCAGTTTTCCTACGTTCCATCATGAACTCTTGGTGTGTAGAAGTCCCTTGGACTCTTTTCTTCCTCCTGCCTTTCTGCTGTGGTGCACCTTTGTCACCAATACCTTCTTAGGTTATAGATTTCATATGGGTTTTGTTCAAAAATCTGGAGGTGTTGGGAGGAGATTTGAATGTATATGAATTCTACAGGGTGAAAGTTTGACTGGTTTTAGACCAGTATAGTTGTCTTTTAATGACAAAAGAAGTTGCTTGGAAAATCTTTCACAAACTCCAAGAGCTATTTATTTCATCCCTTTTGCCTCAGGATTAGGTTGGAACTAATGAATCTTTTGGATCACGTTACACATTTTTTGAAAACAAAAGTTAATTAAAAAAATCATGTAGAGTAGAATAATTTGATTCACAGATTACCCACATTACTGGGTTCCACTTCTGTCCTCTATCCTGTTTTTCTTGTGATCTCCTGCTTTTCTTGTTTAAGCTGTGCAGTTGGTGCTCACCCAGAAAAGTGCTGGAGATTCAAATTGGTTCAGTCATATCTTCCTTTTTTTGGCCAGTGATCTTCCTGTCAGAAATATTCTTTGATGACTCCTCAGCACAATTTCTCTCCCATGATATCTCCTCTGGGAGGGTGGGAGCATCCCAGGGCGAGGTCAGTTTGGGGGAGCAGTAGTCAGCAAACCAGCTTTTCAGTGGTTTTGATCAGATTTCTCCCTTGAAATGAATCATTTTAGCTCCATTGATTTGCACATGGCAATTCCATAATAGCAGGCTGTGAACTCCAGCAGGCATCCTGGTTCATCTGCTGTCAGTCCTTGCCTGGTACCTTCAAGTCTTACAGTGAAAATTGCTTTGGATGAAATGCATGGAGCTCCCCTCAGGCTTTCCTAGTGTTTTAAATCCAGTCCTCCTGGTAGCCTGGGCCAGCTCAGCCCCTGGATATTTGAGGTTGCCTCTGCACATCACTGTGATGCAGGTGCTCAGTTTTCCGGTGGAGAGCAGTGTGTGAACACGTCATTCTGACCTTACAGATCCTGAGCAACCTTGTGATGGAGGAACTCCTGCCTAACCTTCAGACTATGATCCTGCCTAAAATGAAGGGGAAGAGGAATGATAGGAAGCGGGCCTGGTTTGGTGTAAGTACTGAGACTTGCAGAGTAGCTGTTTCTCAAAGCAACTCCCTGTGGGTGCTGATTCTGATCTCTGCTTCTTAATTTAATTTGGGTTTAGATCGTAGAAGAAACTTATGGCTTAGTCCAGCAGCAAGTGGCAGAAGGATTAAGTACCTTGAAAGAAGAATGCAGAGACTTTGCAAAAACTCTTGAAGGAACCATTCGTTCAGACATGGATCAGATTCTGAACTCCAAGAACTTCTTAGCTGGAAAAATCAAAGGTCAGTGGAGGAACAGCTGTGCTTTGGAGCAATTTTTTAAAGTTTCCCATTGTGTTGAATGACCAGATGTCATTGTTTTGAAATCCTCGTGTGTTTTGAAAGATCCAGCTGGAGACACCAATTTTCAGCCAACAAATGCTTTGAGCCTGCGCTGCCTCTGCTGGGAGCTGACACCTGTGGCTGCTGTGTCTGTGAAAACACCACGTCCTGTCAGGCTGGAGCTGACAGGTTTTGAGTAGCCTGATCAGAGCTGTTCATTCTGCTTTCATTTTGACTTGCACAGCCTTAGGTAGTGAAGATACAGGTCACATGAGCATAATTAAAAGAGGAGTGGTTTTGACCTGATTTCTAGGAATGCACCACAAAGCCAGGTTCTGGTTATGTGACAAATTCATAGGCTACCAAAGAGCTCTTAAACCCAAGGGCTTCCTAGGTGGTTTTAAACTAATGTCAGGTAATCATAATTTTGCTGTGAATATACAAGTGAGTTTACAAAGCAGAGAAAACATTATTGGTGTTGCTTAAGCTGGCAAATAAATAAATAAATTCCTGGTAATTGATACCTAGAGCTGCCCTTTCCCCTGCTCTCAGAGTGCCCCCAGCAGCTGCTGTTTAGGTGAGGCATGAGAAGAGAGGTTTCTTTGTCACTCATAAAACTGTGAGCTCTCCTTTCATCACCCGCAGCATCTTTGTGGGGGTGTAACTCCAGGAAAAGCTACGGAACCATAGAATTCCTTGTGAAGTAGATCAGTTCCCATTACTTCGTCGCTGTATCTCTAAATGCAACCCTTATGCTGTGTGACCCTCCAGCCACTGTCTCTGAGCCTGCCCAGAAGTGCTGCACAGAGAACATCCAGCCGTTCCTCGCCTCCATACTCGAGGAGCTCATGGGCCCCGTCAGTTCGGGATTCACGGAAGTCCGCTCGCTTTTTGAGAAAGAAGTTAATGACATCATCCAGGACTTCCAGAAGACCAATGACATGACAAAGCTAAAGGAGGTAAGACAAAATATGTTTGGAGCCTTTATATTAGAGCTAGGACCTCCTGGTTAGAACTTGGCTGAGAGCAGTATTTGCTTTCCCGGGTGGAAGTAAGTTAATGCTTGGGTTTGTCATTTAGAAAGTCAAGTGGTATTTGTGCAACTAGAAGGTAGATTCCAGAATTTGGTTTAAGGCCAAATTGTTACATTCTCTGTTAAAAATTCACCTCTGGTTGCTTTCCCTGGAAACCTGTTCTTCCTGCACTGGAATGCAGAACGTGGATCAGCTTATGAACCTGCCCTTCAACTCCGTGAAGATGGAGCCCTGCTATGTGAAGGTGAACCTCCTCCAGGAGCTCCTGCAGGACCTCAAGAGTCGCTTCAAGGTCTATCACATTGATTTTGTGATTCAGAGGACACAGAACTTCATGCAAGAGGTACTGTAAGATCCAGCTTTTCCTCCCGGGAGAACAGGTTAGGATCGTCCTGCTAATCTGCTTGGAAGTGATCTTGATAAAAGCTGTGCTCGAGTCCCAGAGACTCTCTCAGTCAAAGCAGAGAGAACAAAACCTGAGGAGATCACCTGGGTGCTGCTTGGGGTTTGTATTTGGGAGGTTGTGTGTCTGTGAGTCGTTCAGCAAGGCACAAAAATTTTGGATGGATAATCTCTTCTCCGAACCTTCATGGTCTGAATTCCCAGTGTCTCAGCACCCAGCGAAGTTGTGCTTGTAACCAATGGGGTGGCTAAAATCTACCTGATTCCCATTCCCAGGAGGGAAGGATTTTTCAGGAAGTGCCTTAAATATATTTTACCAAAATGGAATGTCTCCTTTTTGGTAGTTTATTTTCTCATTTATATTAAAAAAAGTCATTTTAATGTTAGAAACTGGTAATTACTTGGAGACAGATGATGTCTAAGGATGTAGGTGCTTTATCCAGCTTCAGTTTTCAGGGGATTGGGGGAAGTGCTGACATCATTTCAGGTGAAAAATGAACTCCACCTCTTTGTCCCCTCTTGTGTGTTTTGGTATAGGCTGGAATTAGGCCTGGCTTTCATTCCTTCTGGATGCCTGGCCAGAAGTCTCTTAGGAGCTGGCCAGCAGACTTATTTCACTTGCCAGATCACAAGGCACACTTGCCCTTGTAGCTCTAAATTGAATCCTGTGATTTTAATCCGTGGTTGGGAAACTAAATAATGTAGTCAGGAATCTTGTGAAGTGGAGCTGGTCCAGATCTATGGAGTGGGAGTTATGAATATGGAAAACGAGTGCAGGGACAGGGTTTTCCTAAAAGCAGCGTTTCTATGTACAGCCATGACCAGCAGCCAAAGAATTATTCAAAAATCAAATTCTGATCTCATGTCTGGGTCTTTCAGGGAGACCATTCAAAAAAGCTGCCAAATAAAGTGTCTTTCACTAAGTGAAGACCATGAGTCAAGAGAAAGAATTAGACAGAAAATAAATCCCATAAAACCAAGCAGTGTTTTTTTTTTTCCTAAACAGTGTATGAGTCAAAATAACAAGAAATGAGTTCAATTATAGCACGAGTTGTTCTAAAAATGCTGTTATTGCATCTCTCTCTTTTTAAAAGTCTGGTGTTTTCCTCATAAAAATAGTGAGTAGTTTCCCTTTGTGTCCATGGACAGTTCTTTTATTGATGAGTAAAATCAGACATGTCTGTGTTCGTGTTGTCTTAATTAAAAGGAGCATTTGGCTTAGCCCTGACTCGGGCAGAGGTGGAGCAGCATTCCTTGCCTTGGGAACTTGGCATCCTCTAGTGGCCAGTTCTAGGAAATTTGGGAGCACAGTGGTCAACTGGCATGAATGGACAGCCCCGTGGGCATCTCCAATCAGAACATATTAAAATTTGAACGGAAACAGCTAAAAAAAGGCAAAACCTCATTAAATAGACACGATTAACACCTGCGGGACTGTTTGTCTGAAAGATATTTTCAGAGCAGGGGTTTAATGTTTTTAATGAATCTTTGGATAACCTGAAAATATGGTAAATACCAGCTCAACATAATTCTGTGAGAAATTATTGCACTCTGTGATTTTTGCTGATTATTATTGGTATTATAAGGGTAGCTAATTATTAATTACCTTAAAAATATCTGCCGTATTATTATTATTTATTAATGATTAATGGTAGAAGTCAATGGGAGTCTTCTTATTAGGGATAGTAAGTTTTGTCTGTGGTCTTTATATATAGATAATCAATTCTACTTTTTGGTTTTGTCACCATCACTTTGGGTGGTGACATGAGATCAAATCTATGCAAGAAAGCTGTGACAGCATGACAGTGATACCAAGGCTTAATTTTCTTTATTTATTGCAGCATTTTCAGTGCATGTTGCCCTTCAGAGAACTGAAATGCAGCAGAAAATTTTTGGACAATATAAATTAATCCACTCTGAGTATGTTTGCTGATAGAACTGTTCAGTTACATGAGCAGACTTGTAGTATTGACCTGCTGTAAACTCCAGATAGACATTGAGAGAGTTACATTTTTGTATTCTCTTGCATTAGATAATCTTCTTTTTGGTTTCCCATTCCAAAACTGAGTGTTGCAATCTAAACGAGGCTCTTCTACCCCTTCCACAGTCATCTAAAGTACCTGAAATATTTATCCATCTTAGGCCCTTTATTCTTTCTCTGTTTCACCTTTTCCAAAACACAAATTAACAGTTACATTTATCATGTTTGCATGAATTTTATGTTACCGGTCTTATTAACAGATCTTTTAAATGGTTCTTTTCAGCTGATGGAAAATGCAGTTTATACTTTTGAGCAGCTCTTCTCTCCAAGTCACCAGGCAGACTCGGCCAAAGTGGCAACAACCATTGAAAAAGTCAAGCTGAGGGTGCTGAAGGTAAACTTTGTGTAGCACTTCTGGACAGGAAGTCCTTGGGTTCTGCCTTTTTAGGAAAAGGGAATATATTTTATATGAATTTATCTCTGTATTTGAAAGGAGATATCTCCTACCAACCAGCTGGAAATACTAATTCAGTGGCACGTAGCAAACTGCTCCTTTGAGGGGTAAAACCTGGTTCTGGGCAGACCATTTTAAAAGTACTTGCATGTGCAGTCCCTTTAATTGCAATTAAATCAGATTATGATGATGCCGTGAATCTGGATATAAAAGTTTTAATTAACTGTATAATTAGCCTGCCCCTAGAATTTGTTCCTCTCGGAAGAGGCAGTGCTGAAATACCTGGGGAGGGCAATCAGGGGCTGTTTCTAGCCTAAGTATAAAAAAACAAGAATGGAAAGAGATGCCAGAAATCTAGATTTTAGAGTGGTTTTGCAAAAGCTGGAATAACCTGCATGGCAGTTCAAAGCCCTGAGTGCACCTCTGATGCACCAGTGACAGGATAACAAGAACCAGTTCCTCGCGTGAGTGATTAGTAACCCCGAGCACGTCCGGGCTTGTTTCTGTTCTGTGTTCTGACAGCAATATGACTATGACAGCAGCACCATCAGGAAGAAGATATTCCAAGAAGCACTGGTACAGATTACCCTGCCCACAATGCAGAAGAGCCTGGCTTCAACATGCAAACCAGTAGGTTTCTGGGATTAAAAATACCCAACCCCGATAATAAAAGGCGGGGAAGGAATAATGCCTTGTCAGCAAGTCCTTAACACTGTAGCTGTTCTCTCCCAGAGGGCTGTGCAGGTCAGCTGCCTGCTTGGCCAAACAGGCTTAGATTTTCCAGTTCATGGTTTGGGTGGGTGTGGGGCATAAGGAAGATTTCAGGAAACAGGGAAACAGTAGGTACAGCTTGCTTGCTCAAAGGTAGTGGCAGTCCTTTGCCCATCCCTGGTTCCTTTCTTCTCTAGAGATCTGAAGTCCCCCAGATGGGACTCCTCTGGGCAGTTGGGATGTAGGTGATGAGCTGGTCCTTGTGTTCATTCCTCTTCAGCAGCACCCCAAGGCACAGCTGGGAACATGCACAGCCTCTGCCAGCGACCTCCTTCAGCACCCAAGGCCTCCTGGGGCAGCAGGAGCGGCAGGAGCCAGGCCATGCCCTTGCTGTCAGTGCTTTTAAATGGAAGCATTGAGTCAACAAACAAGAAATTATCCCACAGAGATGATCTCTGTTGCCCTGAATCATACAGGCCATGTTAGCAGTCAGCAGATGTGGCTGTCAGAGTTTTGTTGAGATGGTAGATGTTATCAGCGTGGCAGCATCAGGGGCCTGTTGGAATGCTGTTCACCTTGGCTCAGAATAAACAGTCTGAACCCTCTGGAAGCCTGTGGGTGACCTCCTGCATTGTCACTGTACCTGCCTAAGCCATCCCAGCCTCCCTGCCCTTCTGTTTCCATTGATGTCCATCCATTCCTGGATGCTGGGAGCTCTCACCAATGGTGTGCTGCTCTTGTTTCTGCTCTCCAGCTTGTTTCAGTTTCCAAGCCAAGTTTAAAAACAAATGTTGTGCCAAGTTATGCTTACGGGTCTTTAAACTATGGAATACTAAAACTTGAAACTTCCAAGAATATATTTTAAACCAATCTTTTCTTTATGTCTCTCTACTTTCCGTAGTATCCCCAAAGTAATAGTTTCTTGTAGAGTGTCAGCAGTGCCTTTGTGACAGGGTGTCTACACACAGGAACAAGCATTTCATCACCTGCAATATCTGTGGAGACAGCTCATGTCTCTGTCCTACAGGACAGAGGGAGCTGTGGTGGTGCAAACTTCCCACAAGCCCTGTCTGTTTGATTTCCCACAAGCCTTTTGTGTTTGTGCCTCTGCAGAAATGAGCAGCCAGCTCTGGAAGCAAAAGTGCAGCACAGTTGACAGGCACAGCCAAGTTCTGACCTTTCCCTTGAAAATCTCCGGGAGTTTTTATTTAGGTGCCTCTTCTGGAAGGTCACCTAATTTACTTTTTATAGACCACCAAGCAGCTGCTTAATAACAATGATTCACTTATTGTCTAGACAGCCTTTGTATATAAATCACTGAGTAAAAGTGTTACACACCTATTAGAAAAACAACCCCAAACCCTGTATCTCCCATGCACCATGGATTTGCCTCCTTGGACAAACAAGTTAGTGAGGCATTTCCTCCCCAGCTGTTTATTTCAGGTGGCAGTGATCTGTAGTGCTTTTAATGTGGTTATACTGCAGGAATACTGTTTGATTAGCACATAATAGATTGAGGACATAGGTAGTTTTTTAGTCATAGCTCACATGGAGCATTGCAAGACCTGCTGGATGGATCTCCAAGGTGTTCGGTTGCTGTAGGACTCTGAGAATCCCTGGGTTTTCTATATCTGTTCTTTTCTTTTCCACCTGCACAGGAGCTGCAGAAATATGAGCAGTACATTTTTGCTGATTACACGAGTGTGATCCAAGTAGAGAATGTGTATGAAGACATTTTATATCAGACACTGCTTGAAGAGGCCCTGAAAGGTGAGAACAGTGTTGAGGTGACAGTAATGACATTGCAGCCCATGAGCTCTTCCTTCAGAGCTTCCCAGAGTCCTCCCCTGGTAGACCCAGGCCTCACTTTCCCCAAGACACACCACAGGGTGTTTTTATTTAGCTCACTAAATATGTGTGGAAAGCCCTAAAATCTGAGTTATGGGGCAACTTTACTAAACCTGGGAAACTCGAAGTGATAGCTTGGCACAAGCCTTTCTCTAACAAAATGTGATTATGCCAACTTCATTTGATCTCGATTCCCTGGGCCAAATGGGGAAATGATGCCCTTATTTGCAAAGACTTGGTGATGACTAAATGGCAAGACTTTGCCATATGCAAGACTAAGACAATTACAAAGATTAACGGCAACAAAACTTAATTTCCCCAAATGAAATGAGCTGCTGGCTGCAGTTTGCAGTACCTCACTGATGCCAGTGCAGTACCCTCTGCTTTTGTGTCAGAAAACTAAGCTACTCTTAATAAATATTATATATAGAAATATAAATACTTACAAAATACTTGTATCTCTCTGGAGCTGCCTTCTGCCTATACCCTGTATAAAAGACAAGCAGATGTATTGCACAGTAGGTTTTCATAGATCCTTGTTATCACTCCTGGTCAAAAATATCAGTATAATAATTAATGTAACAAGGGCACTTTTATTCACATATTCAGTGTAACTGCTTCTGCATTGAAGCATTACCTTTGTACATTGTGGATCCTCTGGTAGTTTTCTGTTTCAGAAATGCTTAGGTCTACATTGAAGTGCCATTAATGAACACAGATAAGATCACCACCCCCAGAAAAGAAGTTGAAAATTAAAATTACTGTTGTCTGTAATATCAAAATGGACAACATAAACTCAGGAAAACACTGTACCTTCTTCCATGTCCCTCTGTGACTCTTTCCAAAACAGTCTGTCCTTCTGTTTTATTTAGTGATAAAAGAAGCTGCCATTCTGAAAAAGCACAACCTCTTTGAAGATAACCTGAATTTGCCCTGCGAGAGCGTGTCCAGCCTGGCGGAGCTGAAGACCCCTTCGGGCTCGGCACAGACCACCCCCGCCAAGAAACCTTCGGCCGCCCGAGCCGAGGTGTCGGACACAGAGAGCCAGGGGGACGAAACGCTCGTTGTGACGGGAAAAATCGCCTGGGAGAAGGATGCTGAGGAAGGAAAGTCACCAGACAAAGAGGCCTCTGGTAATGCAGCTGGTGATCACAGCAAAAGTGAAGCAGTGGTTGTTACAGACATCGGTGAGAAACGGGAGTCCCCTCCAGCTGCCCACACAAAACGGGGAGTTGCAGAGGGGAAAAGCGCTGTGGAGAATGAACCAGAGTGTGTGATGAATGCTGAGAGAGAACTGCAGACGCCACAAGAAGCTGTGGAGGAAAAAGTAGCTTCTGGGACTGACACTGCAGTGAAAAATATTGGCTCCAGCCCTAAAAAAGAACCTAAGGCACCTGAAGGAGCAGCGGAGGAAAAGGCAACTTCAGAGAGTCGAATAGCAACGCATGCTGCATTTGTCAGTGCCACTGAAAAAGAAAGCAAAGCACAGGAAGAAGTTTCTGAGATAAAGCTGACTTCCCCACATGAGAGTGTAACAGAAGCAGAGGTTTCAGGGAATGCTGAAAAGAAAAGCGAGGTAGAAAAAGAAATGATGGGAAAATTATCTCAGCGTGAAAATGCAGTAGGAACAGGGTTTGAAGAGGATGGTAAAAAAGAAAGCAGGGAGCAAGGAGCGAGTGCAGAGAAAAGAGTTGTTTCCCAGAGTGGAAGCACAGGGAAAGGAGAGTTTGGGGATAGTCCTGGAAAAGAAAGCAGGTTGGACAAGAAGAGTTGTAAATCCCCTGATGATGTGAATGAGATAAGGAGTTTGCTGATGGTGGCGGTTGAGATACCAGCAGATGCTCCAGAGGAGAACGTAAAGGAGATCTGTGAGGGGGAGATAATAAAGTTGCAAGAGGACAATGGAGGGAACAGTGAATTGAGCAAAGTGGCTGTGGCAGAAATTCAGGTGAGCCAGACGATGAGGAGCGAAGATGCAGCAGAATGTGTGGAACTCAAAGAGGAGAGACCATCCTCATGTTTGGGGACAGATAGTACGAGTTTAGGGAGCGTGTCCAGGGGCGCACAAGCAGAGTGGCTGGTGGAAAGCTCGGACCCGCCTCAGGAGGCAAAGGCAGAGGTGGAGATGAAGCAAAGCGTGTGGTACACGGGTGTGGGAAGCTGTGGAAGTGAGAGGTTGCAGCCAGAGGAACACACAGGAAATGTGTCGGAAGACAGAAGGTTGGCTGGGCAGGAAGGAGGAGCAGGGAATAGCCACACCATCCCGGTGGAGGTGGGGCCACAGAGCTCCTCTCAGAGGGCTGCTGAACATGCAGACTCCACACAAGTGCCTATTTTGGATACAGAGAACCCAGGAACAGCCCTGCTGGAGGCAGTCTCTTTGGTGCCACAGCAGCACGAGGTTAACGCTGCGTTAAAGGTCACAGGAGATAAAGAGGCTGGTGGGGGCGAGGGGGAGCCAGGAGATGAATCATCTTCACACACGGAAATCAAAAGCACAGAAGTAAAAGATATTCTCACAGAAGAAAACAGAGAAGATACTTGTGTACAGCAAAACTCGGAAGAGTAGGAAGTGTTTTTCAGCCCGGCCCTGCAGGATTTATTTACTCCAGTAGTCCTTGTGTAATTGTGAATACTCCTTTGGGTTGGGGCGAGAGGAAATGGGCTTTGTTGTGGGATTGCCAGCTCTTCCAGGTTTCCCACAGATCTCTTCCTGAGTGATAGGTGATGGGCTTCTTTTTGGTTTAAAACCAGGTTACTGCTGAGAAACCTCATCTTTCACTTAAAATTTGCTCCCTTTTATGGTTAGAGAAAAAGTCTGAAAATGTGACCACTGAATGCTTCAAAAGCAAATCACTCCCAACTATTATCAATTTATTTTAACAACTTCACTGTTCGTAGTGTTGCTCATGATTTTTCAGTGCATGGATTTGACAAGTACTGCTCTGATCCTGGTGGTTGGTACATAGATACTCGAAGGTGCTTTTAGTATTTGCATGCAGTGTACAGGAAATAAATCAATCTTTTAGTAGTTAAACAGAACCCAGTGGTTAATTTAGTAGGTTGCTCAAAAACCACACTCTAAGCAAACTCTGCAAACTGATTACTTAATTATTTTCAAGTTTGGGTAGATGTTAAAGACAAGCAAATGTTCTGATTTTTTAATTTTTTTTCTCTTTTTGCTATATTTAAAATGGGGAAAGTATGGGAGCAGGTTTCTCAGTCCCACTGTGCACTTCTGGGTTATTTAGCCTTCCAGAGCACTTTACAGCTATTTTATTTTGTTTTATTTTATGGAAGGGAGAGATGAGAATGTTTACAATAACTATAACCATTAGCAGCATCTCTCTGGTTTCATTCCCACCATAAAATAGATTCACTTACAGCTATCTAATACAGAACACTGAGTCCTGCCATGCCCATTCCTACTGAGTTACCCAGTTCTGTAGGCATTTTTAGGTGTGGAAATCACATAGTTAAGTTGCAATAATTGTGAAATATCATAATCATTGCATATAATTTCTAATAGAGATGTTAACTGAAGTGAAAAGCAGCCAAAGGTTACTACATGTGCTTAGATTTTGGAGAGCAGAATAACATTAAAAAAGCAGTTATTAAAATGAGACAATTGTTTTCATACATATCAAACCATGATCTAGGCATGGATTTGCTTATATGTGTTATTTGCATTTAAGTTTATGGACTGTGCACAGAAAAGCTTGGAAATGAAACCCAGTATTTTAATAAATTGGGCTTTAGAGTGCAAGACCTCACTTAAGAGCTCAGTTTAAGGCACCTTAAAATTTTGGCCCCGTGTTTCAGACTGTTTCTGAATATCATACAGTACAGGACAGCAAAGATTAATGATAAATACAGTAAAGGACTGCAGCATTTATGCCCATAAAGACATGAGAAGAAATAACAAAGTCCCGGGAGCATAATACGTGTTGGCATTTAACTTCAACAAACTGCAAAGCCTTTTAATGCTATCAAAATATTCTTTAATACTAACAGAATTGACACTAGAGGAACAGGCAAACATTACTGTGTCAGAAAGGAACACTGTTGAGTAACTAGACTAACTGCTCTGTCACTATTGTAAAATAAATGCAATTCTTATTTATTCCAGAAGCCATACTGTGGTATGGAAACATGAAGGTCACAGATGTTTTCTTTGCAGAAGGATTTTGACTTGTTTCCTCCCTATATTTCATGCAAAAATACTAATTTGTAAGCACACAAACCACTGCCAGCCAATTTTTTTTTAACAAATCATTACTTACTTCACTGTCAGCTGGTTTGTTTTTACAAATCATTAACTATTTTTAATTGGTACTGAGTGCTAAGCGACTTCAAATTTATACCATGTGCTATACAGTTAAGCAGGAGCAGCCTCTTTTAGCTAAAATCAGGGGACACGATGGGTTTTTAATGCTCTTTTTGTGAAAAAGACAAGTAACATGATGGTAAAAAAGACTGCAGTGTCCTGTAAAAGGAAACTAATTCATTCTAATATGAATTAGATACATCCGTACAGAGAGTATTCAGAATAAATATTCCCATCATGATAATTTTTGAGTTATTTCTGTGGCAGGCTTAGATCTGGGCAGTATTTTCCTGTAACATGAATTGAGTTGCTGAAAGCAGGTGCTCGGAGGTTTTTCACAAGTAGGACAGGAAAGGACAGGGAAGATTTAGCCCGCACATTGCCTGGTTCTGCGATTTAAACTGGAGTTCCTCATGGCTAGGGGACTGTTTTTTTCCCTTTTTGGACATTTTCTGTCCATTTGCAAATGGATAAAGTAGCATTTTCTTGTCTTTACCAGAGGCAACAGCCATTTCAAGCTCAGAAATCTGCAAGGTTGCCTCGGACCGCTGATCAAAAATGATAATAACCCACCCATTCCGCCAGTTTTTGTAGCTTTCTTGAAATTTCCTACACATACCTGGAATGATTTTTTTCACTTGCACACTGGGAGCAGTAAAAAATCGCCTGCCAGGGCAGGATGGGTGAGGGCACCCCGAGGGGAGCGGGCTGAGGGCTGGGATTTCCTGGGCTTTCCACTGGTAACGGCCAGGACAGGAAACACGTTTGGATTTCGCTTGGAACTTTGTAAAAACGCTTGTCATGGAAATAAAGACGCTCTTCCCTTCCGTTGCTGGGAGGCTGGTTTTGTGAGTGTGTGATAGTTTCGGGGGGATTATTTAACAAATATACCTCAGGCGGCTGTCGGGGGGTGAGGGAGGCGTGTCCTTCCAGAACCCGAGGGCAGCTGCGAGCAAGGTGGAGAGGGACTTTTTATAAGGGCAGGACGAGGGGGAATGGCTTCGAACAGGTTTTAGTTGAATACTGGGAAGAAATTCTTCCCTGTGAGGGTGGTGAGGGGCCGGGACGGATTTCCCAGAGAAACTGTAGCTGCCCCATCGCTGGAAGTGTCCAAGGCCAGGCTGGAGCACCCCGGGACAGCGGGAGGTGTCCCTGCCCGTGCAGGAGGGTGGGACTGGATGGGCTTTAAGGTCCTCCCACCCAAACCATTTTGGAATTCTATGATGATACAATTCTATGTCTCTTCTCCCTTGTTCTTTATTGTGATTCAGTGATTCCATCACACACAGACGTGTTTGTTTGTAAGCTGAGATATCACCCGGTGTTGTAAATGCTTGTTATTTGTTATCAGATTTGGCTTCTGAAGCTGGGAATTGCTATTTGGAGTTTCAGCTTCATATTTTATATTAATTTGGCATCTTTAATAATCGTCTAATCGGCTGTGATTGTGCTCTGCACATAACGGTTAATGTGTACAAAATGTTTGAAACGCTGGCGTTGTGGAAGCGTTGGGAGCCTCTCATTTTTAGCCGCGGCAGGCATGTACGAAGGGTGGAATAAGACGGGCTTTACGGTCCCTTTGAACCCGAGCCATTCCCCGACTCCCCCGCACACTCCGCGCCCGGAGCCGCCCCTGAGGGAGAGCGGGGGGGAGGGCGGGGCGTGAGGGGACGCGGTGCGCGCCGGGAGCTGTGGTCCGGGGCGGGGCGCGGTGCACGCCGGGAGTTGTAGTCCGCCCCTCCCTTTGTCCACGTCGCCCGTCTCGTCACGTGCCCGCCCCGCGCGCGCACGTGTCCCGCCCCGCCGCGCTCCCCCATTGGCCCGGCGGTCCCGGAAGCGGCGGCGGCGGCGCGAGGCGGTTTCCTTGGCTACGCCCCCGGGGCGCGCGCAGGGGCCGGGCAGGGCCGGGCCGGGCCCCGCGGGAGCGGCGGCAGCGCCATGGGCCGGGAACGGGACCGGGAGCGGCAGCGGGAGTAGCGGCACCGCCGCCACACGGCCCCCATGGCCCCCAGCGCACCGCCGCCCTGCCGCGCCGGGGAGCGCGCCGCCCGCTGCAGGCGGCCCTGGAGGCTCCTGGCCCTGGGCCTGCTCTCCGCCTCCTCCGTGCTGGCGGCCGCCCCGGGCGCCGGGGCTATGAGCAGGGAGGAGAAGCGCCGGCTGGGGTGAGCGGCGGGACGGGACACGGGGAGGGACGGCGGGCAGCGGGGCTGAGCCGCCCCCGGGGCTGGGGCGGGCGCGGAGCCCCGGGAGCGTGTCCCCTGTCCCCAAGCTCCGGGACACGCTGGCACCGGCCCCGCCGGCGCTGCGGCTGGTGTGCCGGACCCGCTGGGCTCCCGGGCCAGCCCCAGCCCCGTGGCTGCTCGGGGGTCACTCCATGCGCTCCGGGAACCCGCAGTCACAACGCTTGGCACCTCGTCCAGGAGGGCTCGGCCGGCGGTTCCGTGGAATTAGGGGTAAAAGCGATCAAAGGTAACTCCAGCTCCGCTCTCGGTTGGTTTAATTGTGGCCCTGCCTCCGTGAGAGTGCGGGAGTCGTAAAAAAGGTAAATGTTTATCCATGTTCCTGCGGAGTTCCTGTGTGTGAGCTAAACTGTGCATGTACACGTCAGAACCTGATTCTCTCTTGGTGTACTTTTTGGCTGAGGGGTAAAGGTTGTGGCAAGCTGGAAACATATTTCCCTGCGTCAAGTGGGATTTCTGTAAGAGAAGTTTGTAATCGAGCATATCTCGATCTTGTTATGTTACTGGGGCAGTTTCATCATCCTCTGCTCAGTGGTACAGAATAGTGATGCAAAAAAATCTGCTGGAGAAGCACTCTGGATCCTCTCCTGGCTATTAATCATGGAATCCCTCAAGTTGGAAAAGGCCTCCAAGACCCCCAAGTCCAAACATCAGATATAAGTTGATATTTAACTCTGGTGTTTACAGTTACTGGAGTTTCCCACTTTGTGTTCTCAGGGCATTTTGTTTGTATAATCTTTTTGTGTTCTTTGCTCGTGTGGCTACAACAAGGAGTTTTAATTCCTTTCCCTGATGGGTTTTAAAGTTTTTGCATTAATATCTTGCACTTAAAACATAATCTGATGCCTCAGGGATGTGCAGGTCATGTCCTACCATGGTTTGTATTTGGGATCACTTCTAAATAAAGGAATCTGTGTATTTATTTAATGACAGGGTCATGTCAGTCCCAGAAAATGCTCAGTAAATGTAAATTTTAAGCAGCTTTGTGTGCTTAGTTCATCTGGGGCTTTGTCTGCTGCTGGAGATCCCAGATCCTGTGAAGTACCTGGAAAAAGCACCATCCTCTGCTCTTTTGATGACTTAATGCACTCGATGAGTTAAAGCTACTTCTCAGATTTCCAAGTCATTGAACTAAATTGGATATTTACAGTATAACTGTGGTGTTCTTGGCTCGTTTATGTTCAGTCTTATCAGCAGAGATTGTGAATTATGTTGATGGTAGAATTAGCATCCTCTTTTGCTTGCAGGGCTCCTGAGTAAAACAGTTAGGAGTGACTGGAAGTAAAGCTGTCTCTCAGAAAAACAATATGCTTTTTGGATTTTTTTTTTTATATATAGTAGCATTTCTCACCTTGACTGCTTTTCAGACTGGTAAGATAAATGCAACTACAAGAGTTTTCCTTAGTATTTGCTTACCAGGAAATCCCCAAGTATTTAATTTCATGTTAGGTGAAGAAAGAGGCTTTCCACAGAGACCAAAAGTAGTTAAATTAGGAAAAATCACTATTCTGTATCTCATTTACTTGAGTAGAGTGTGTTTGTAAAGAACCTGTTACTGATATTCAGACAGATATTAAAGTGTGATTCATCTAAGATGGTGCATTAAAGGCCATTGGAGGCAGACCACTAACGCTTTTGGTTTTTTCTTTTTTAGAAATCAAGTGCTTGAAATGTTTGATCATGCATATAGCAATTATATGGTGAGTAAAATACTTGTTTGATGTTTGTCAGAGGAGTTGTTGCTGACCTGGGAGAGAAATCAGCCTACAGTACATGACATTCTAGAGAAGTATCCAGGAGGGAGGGGTGAAAACAAAGCTAAAATAAATAACAGCACCTGTACAGCCTTTAAAAAGACATGAACAAATGTTACTTTCAGGAAGAGCAGAGTCAGGAGGGTTATGGTGGCTTTTGGAGGGGTAACTCAGAATTGCCTGTGGTAACTCTCCTAATCTCTGCTCTAATCTCTGGGGAAGATCTCTGGTCTTTCCCAAACCACTTTATCTTATGTTTCCAACAGTTCTCATCTTTAGTAAAGTGTTTGGTTTGAAATTCCAGACTCCTAAAACTGGTAGGAAAAGGAAGCTCAAGAAGAGCTGTTGGTAGCCATCAGGTTGTGGAGAACTATCTGATCTCACTTACTTTGTAGGTAAAAATGCCGTGTAATATTTCTTGATCGGTCAGACGTGTCAGGTGCAGTTTGGTGACCCTTTTACAAACCCCAGAAAGGGGATGTGGTGTCATATGCAGGCATTCCAGACTCCGCTGAGGATGTGAGTGTCATATGACCGTAAGTCAGGCTCACTATGGTTTCTTTTGCTATGACTTGTGATTTTCTGTGCAGGTGTCCCTGTGTTCTAGATCTGTGAGCCATTCTAACCCACCTTGAAATACAGTCAGCTTGGTTTAGATCTGCTAAAGAATAAAGAATTACTGAGAGTGGACTTGCCTCAAGCAATAGTCCATTATACTCTAAGTAACACTTCTGAGGAGAAACTGCAGGTGCAGATAAGTATAAAAGATGCATTTTGACTGACCTTCCATTGACAGTCTTGCACATTCTTTGTGGGTGTTGCAGAAACCCCTCAGGTTGCACCAGTTCCTGCAGCACAAACCGCTGTCTCCTGGCAGCATCTTGCCACATGTCCCAGTTTCTGTGTCGTGGTTCAACACTTTGATATGTAATACCAGCTGAAAAGCTTGGGAATTACAAGCTTATACAGCAGGTGAGAGGTCCAGGGCCCTGGAATGGGTAGAAGGGATGTAGTTTCTCTTTGTATCATCAGCTCTCTACTTTTGCCACCTCTAGCAGTTTAACCAAACATCAGGCTTTTTGAGGATAATTTGGAACTGGTTACCTGGGACCTGATTCCATGAAAAACACTTGGCTTGGATTTCCCCAAGGAAAAAGTCGTGCATTTGGCAAGATTGCTTAAAATACTACAAGGATCTGTGCTCCTGCTGTTCACTGGGTGATAAACAGGCAGCTCATATGGTTCTTGCTACATCTGAAGCAAGAAAATTCGGGTTGAAAGAGAGGAACAACTTCAGCTATCCTGGAAACTTTGGAGCCAAAAGGATGTGGACTTGCCACGTATACTGGAGCACAAAACAAACAGAAATGTGACTTGTTTGTTTAAAGCTGAAGAAAAGATTAGGGTGTCAGACCTGACTCTTGACAGCAAGAGAATTAAGTACTTTTGCAGGTGCTTTCGAAAGAGCCAGCTGAAAAGTTTTGATTTTCTGTTTCTATTAATATGGATTTCGGATATGTGTGTTTAGAAGACTGAAAATTCATGTTTGCTTGCAAGGGAAACTCCCTTTTTTTTTTTTTTTTTTTTTTTTTTTAACAGAAACCTTGCATAAAAAGCTGCTGGTTTTTTTTTTCCCAGTCCTTCAACAATATTTGTAATAATCAGGATGTTTTTTTCTTCTTGGCTGTAGAAAGAACATGTGAAAATGTCAGTTATTTGAGGCCAGGGACAAGTTGGGAAACCATTCGATCCAGTAGCCTTTCCTGATCTATGCAGGGAATAAGTGAACTTTTATTTTTTAAAATGCTTCCAGTTCCTTATGATTTTGCAAAACTAAAAGTCCATTTTCTCCAGAATTTTTATAACTCCTCTCTCCATAATTTAAGAAGTTTTGACTTTGCTTTTGTCATGTACTTCTTTAATCTGTTTTGCTGAATACTTTGCAGGATATTCAGAAACATCTGAGCTGTGTTAAA